TCTGGTCTCCAGGGGCAGCACTATAAAGGCTCTGTTAATGGCTGTGGCTTTTGGGAGTCTGCAGTGCTGCACTCCTAAATTGTGTCATCCTGACAAAGACTGGGAATCAGACAGTCTCTCTACCTTCAATTCATGTGTGTGTGCTACCAAATTTTTCTTTAGTTATTTTTCTTTAGTTTTTTTTATTGGTCTTTCTTATTTTTAAAGCCCAAGTAAACATTATCCTGGGTAATGTTTCATACTGTTCATGTTTTACCCTCATTATTCCTTACTAAGTTTCAAGAAGTTCATTAAATTGATCAAAAGTGGCAGTAAAGAGATTTATAATGTCACAAAGAGAAATGACTGCATAACTGTTCATATTTCTTGCCATTTCAGGAATAAATTACATTTTAAAATAGATTAAAAGAATAAATTAAATTGTAAAACAAATATTTAACAGTACTACTCTTTTTGCTCTTTTTTTGTCACACAAATGCAGCCTTGGTGAGCATAAGACTTCTTTCAAAAATATAAAAAAATCTCAACAACTCCAACTTTTGAACAGTAGTATATCTTCTAAATTTTGCCTCCACTGACAATTTGCCATCATGAGTTTATCTAGGATGGATTTCTAGGATAATTTTTTCCTCCTTTTTCCATCCTTTTCCCCAGCACTCTATTGGCCAGAACTGTGTTGAATATTTCTTAGAATAAGCATTCATTCATTCATAAAAATAAATAAATACAAACATACATAAGAACACAATCATGATGTTCATGTGTGTTTTGTGTAGGATTGTGCAGTTTTACAGATTGTGACTAGCTGACCTCATATATAATGTGAAGTTTGTATCAAATATGCAAGACAAGAATGCAAAAATTCATTATTTTGGAAATTAAAAAAGAAATAGAATGTCAAGGTCATTAAGAAATATTTACACATCATGGTACACCTTCTTTAGGTTTCTCAATTAGCAAGTGTGAAAAACAAGTTAATTTTTGGAGCCTGGTTGTATTCATGTGTTTTTATGTGAAACAGCTTCACATTTCTAATGAAAGAACCCAATAAAAGAGTTTGATGTATTTCACTCTTTCTGCTTGGGTTTCTTTTGTTAATGAAACCTGATGAAAATGTTTCTCCACTCTGTATATCACAGTCCTGTTTGCTCTGCGTAAAATACAATCCTGGGGACGTTTATATGGAGGCCCAGTAGAAGTGAAGATCAGAGATCATGAGAGGCTCCACACTCATCCATCTCTCTCTGTCTCTCAATCCCAGTGCCCTCTGTGTGATTGCCAAGGTATCTCCACGGCTGCAGATCCTGGCAGTGTGGCACTGGAACTCTGCCATTTAACGGAATTAAAAGGGGATTTAGGGAGATGCGTGTGTGTTTGGGGGGGGATTGGTGGCCAGCAAAACTGGGAGGTATGGAGGCGGGGCTTTGCGGTCGCCACACAGTGCACCAGAGTGTTACGTAACGTGTTTACTAACACACTAGCCAGGAGGCAATTCCGTCCCATAGTTCATCCCGACCTGCTCTGATTGATAGCTACTCTCGATTGGTTCCCGAGCGTCTGATTGTTGTTGGGTTAATGAGACAGCCCTATCCGCCCGACTCCAGAGGACGCAGCCTTTTCAGAGCTGTTGGTCTTGTGTGTGTGAGTTATTAGATGCCATATTGGACTAAGCTTATTTGGATAATCAGAGAGGCCCTTTCCTCTCTCTCTCATTAGTTCACTCGCTCTCTCTCAGTAATTGTTGGCTGTGTTGTGCCGTGCTCTGCAGTGCATTATGTAAATGCATAAACCCTCTGGTGCAATGGTTGCACAGTGCCAGCTAGTGTATGACAGTATCGGCCAGGGCATCGACCGGCACGGGCTTGGGATGGGGGTGGGGTGGACTGCGCTGTCGTCGTCATGGCAGCCCGTGACTCACAGTTGTACCCTGTGCTACTTCAGTCACATGACCCCTCCGTGAATAACTCCTTCAGCGACCTCAGCAGTGCCGCCCACTGAGAATGAGCATTCACACCTGTTTTATGCAAAACAAGATGCACATACATGCATGTAAAGCAGCGTGTCATGCTTCACTCTCATAACTAAAAAATTAAATTTTTTCAGGTATGCTCATAATAATAATAATAAAAAATTATAAAAACTAAATTATAAATAAACAGTTAATTAATTTTAATCAAAATGAACAGTACTACCATAAAATGCATATTATGGACACCAACATAAACATTTTCATTAAAATAAAAAATCCCTTTAAATAAATTATGACAAAGTTAGCAACGTGCACATGGTGTTTGGATTCCACATGTAAATATTATTTTTTTAAACTATTTTTTATATATTTAAAAATATTCATAAAACTTTGTCTAAATATTGTGTAGTTTCCCGTTAATTTTATTACTTTTAATTATAATG